AACCGTCGAGTTCATCTTCGAACGGACCTGTCAATAAATCAACAGAACATGCATGACACAGACCACGCTAAACTAGCGCTTGCGGCTGTGAGCAGGTCGCCTTCCAATGTACTGATGCATGAGGCCTAAAACAGGACACCACGCCAAAGTTAGTTGAGAAGTATTAAAAACCTCACGCCACCTATATATTCTCCAATCTTAGTGCATGTGCTCTCTAATAAACCAAATTATAACTATTTTTCCCGTATGGACGCCGCTGCTCTGAGCCTTCTACTGAAATATGCGAGGAGAATTCCGAGTTAGTTGACATGGTTGTTGTTAAGGTCTGAACTGCCATGACCTGGCTCCGAAACCCTCAGGGACATTTGTTTTCCCTTCAAAGGCTGATGATCTGTACAAGCCTAGGTGTTCGGAGGCAGTCGCGATCTTTGTCGTTATTTCTTTTATCTTAAATGCCAGTATAGCCCGTTAATATTTGCGAACTGGTGCTTTTCAGACCGTTGGGCTGCATTGTGGCCATTCATTGGAATCGTGGTTGAAGTGACCGTGCTTGTGGCTGCGATCCTCCTCTATGAGCGTCATCAGATGCGCGCGAAGGCTCCGACAGCAAATAATGCGAATATTGATAGTGCCTCGCCAAACGGAGCCGCGAGTGGAGGAACTGAAAGGTTAGTTTACCGTCCCTGCCTGCGACTCCGTTCATTTTTAACATGTAGATTTTCTCTAGCAGCTTTCTCTTTTTTGTACATGTCGGCTAGAAATTCACATCCTGTTTTTTCGTTTGTTTTGAGTTTTTTTCCAATTAGCTTGAACCACTTTACCGTGGGTCTTTAATTTGCCATTATTTTCACATGCGATGGTACTTTGTGACTTTCGCTTTTTTTCGGCACTTCGTGTGAGCCACGTACGCAACCTGTGGTTAGGCACGTGAGAATTGGTTTCAAGTCACGCGAGAATCGTTGTCGGCCCAGTGACGGCCATCCCGTAAAAGTCTGTGCGGTCACTTCCACCACTTTGTTTATTTATGTGTTCTCTACGCCGGACATTCCTATGTGCTACTGCTCACAGCTGCACCAATAAAATTTCTCATGTATGATCACTTGCATGTGGGCTGATCACTCGTGGGCTGCTTTTTTGCCTCTGATTGTAGTATTCACAACTACTTATTTTGATTTTGGACATACCTGGGCACTAGAAGGCTTATCCACAAACTTGTTTTTGCCGTTTTTAGTCCGCTCTAGAAATGATCCAAGCAAAATGTGGCTAGCCGCTCCTGTGCTCCCACTTGTTTTCGGTTCTTTGTCGTTTTCTAGTTTCGTATGCGTGTGTGTAATTGTAACCGGCATCGCCAGTTACTTCTTGCTGCTGTTCTTTA